GAAGGCAGAGGTAGAGGATCTCTGAGTTCTAGGCCAGCCTGGTCTATAGCGAGTTCCAAGCCAGATAAAACTACATAGTAAGTCCCTACCTCAATAAAAAGAAAATAAATCTAACTCATGGGTATTTTATCAATCTAAAAACAAAATTAAGAAAAAAACTGAAAGCAAGTTCTGACATTTTAGTTAGGGTTTCTATTGTTGTGATAATGACTGTGACCAAATCAGCTTGGGAAGGAAAGAGTTGATTTCACTGTAGAGCTCTCAAGTCACACTCAGTCACTGAGGTCTGTCAGGGCCAGTCAGTCTCTTCCGTCTTAGCTCCAGTTTTGTTTTGCTTTCCTTCTCTTTCTTTGGTTTGTTGAGACATGGTCTTTCATAACATACCCCAGGCTGGCCTTGAACTCTGGAATCTCCTACTCCAGCACCCTCAGTATCAGAATCATAGGCATGCACCACTACTCTATGGATGCCTTTTTGCTGTTCTCTATTTCACTCATTTCTGCTCCGATGTTTATATTTTTTGATTCTGCTCATATGGAGTTTATATGCTCTCCTTTTTCTAATTTCATAAAGCCTAAAGTAGGTTATTGATTCAAGATCATCCTTTTTAAATCTATAACAAGTGTTCACAGTTATAATTTCCCTTCTAAATGCTACTTTAGCTGTGTCCCGTGAGATTTGGTATAGTTTGTTTTCATTTAGCTTGTGAAAGGATTTTTTTCTTAATTTCCCTTGTGATTTCTTCTTTTCCCCAGTGGCTCTTTAGGAATGTTCTGTTTAACTTTCACTTTCTAGTGAACCTCTGGTTCCTAATTTCATTCCACTGTGATCAGAGAATACATTTTTCATTACTTTAGTCCTTTTGAGGCTTGTTTTATAATCCAATATTATGTCTGTTCTGTAGAATATTCACATGCCCTTGAATATTCTGTATATTCAAATGTATATCTGCTATTGTTGGATAACTCCATAGGTGTTCTTTGGTCCTAGTTAGTTTGTAGTGTTCTTCTGTTTACTGTGGAACTCTGACCAGTTGTTCCCATCATTGAACATGGAATTCTTTTTATTTCAGCTGTTATTTCTAAATTGTTTATTTCTTGCATCAATTCTGTAAATTTTTTCTTTATATACTTTAGGGCTCTGTTACTAGGTACATATGCCCTTATAACTTTTATGAATTCCTGATAATTTGACCCTTATACCAATGCAAACACACTCCTGTCTCTCCACTTTAGTCTTAAAGTCTACCTTGATGGGGGGATGTCTTTCTGTATATATGTTTCTCTTATTGGTTGATGAATAAAGCACTGATTGGCCAATAGCCAGACAGGAAGTATAGGCGAGGCTATGAGACAAGAAGAATTCTGGGGAGAGCAGATGGAGAGAGGTTGCCAAGAAGAGACTCCATTTTCTGGTAAGATAAGGCCATGTAGAAATGCATACATTAGTAGTTATGGGTTAATAATTAAAAGAGAGCTAGTCAGCAAGAAGCCTTTGGTCAACAGTTTTATAATTAATATAGCATTGTATGTTTATTTGGGGCAAGGTGGCTGCAGGACCAGATGAAACAGAAACCCCCATCTTCACTACCTTGTCAGGTATTACTTGTCAATACTGTTCTCTGTTTGCATGTAATATTATTTCCTTCTTTTACTTTAAAGGTATTTGTTCTTTGAATCTGTTCTGTCTCTAACATAACACATAATTGGAGTGTATATTTTTTTATTCCATCAATCTTTGGATCTTGACTGCACTGTTGGTTCCTTTATAGTTATATGAGGATTTATGTAATATCTAGTAAAATAATATTTTAGGAAGTGTACTGGAAAATTTTGTGTCAATTTAACACAAGCTAGAGTGATCAGAGAGGAAGGAGCCTCAGTTGAGAAAAATGCCTTCATAAGATATAGTTGTAGATAAACCTGTAGAGCGTTGTCTTAATTAGTGACTGATGGGCAAGGGCCCAGCCGACTGTGGGTGGTGCCATCTCTGGACTGGTGGTCCTGAATCCTACAAGAAAGCAGGCTGAGCAAGCCATGAAGAGCAAGTCAGTAAGCAGCATCCCTCCAAAGCCTCTGCATCAGTTCTGCCTCCAAGTTCCTGCCCTGACTTTCTTTGATAATGAACTGTGATGTGGAAGCATAAGCTAAAGAAACCCTTTCCTCCCCAAGTTGCTTTGGTGATGGTGTTTCATCACAGAAGTAGAAACCCTAAGACAATGAGTGTATTTTATTTATCAAATGTATGTTTCCCTTTATGTTTCCAATTTTTTTTTTTTTTTTTTGGTTTTTCGAGGCAGGGTTTCTCTGTGGCTTTGGAGGCTGTACTGGAACTAGCTCTTGTAGACCAGGGTGGTCTCGAACTCACAGAGATCCGCCTGCTTCTGCCTCCCGAGTGCTGGGATTAAAGGCGTGTGCCACCAACGCCCGGCCCAATATTGACTCCTTATGTGTTAAATACGTATTTCTTTTTTAGCTATCATTTTACTTCCATTGGTGCTTCTTTTACTATTTTTTTTCTTGGTCAGTATTCTAGGGATTACAATTGGCACAGTAGCACAACTATAGGGATGAGGACGGAACTCAGTGGTACATAGGGGAGGCTCTGGATTTGGCCACCAGGACAACAGAGTCTGGGAAGACAGCTCAGAAGATAAAAATGCTTGCTGGACGAGTATGAGAACCAAAGTTTGAATCCCAAACACGCCCCATAAAATGCCAGGAATGGCTTCACATACCTACAGCTCCAGCCCTGGGAGATGGAGACAGACAGACGGACAGACAGGTCTTGCACTGATCAGCCAGCCTAACCACAACAGTCAACTTCTGGAGCAGTGAAAGCAGTAAGATGAAGAGTGGCCAAGGAAGACATCAGACATCCCCCTCAGGCCTCTCCACACATGTGCACCTCCACATACTTTCATGCATGCACCCACTACAAAACTCTTTTTAATAAAAATTTGTTAATTTGCCTTTTCATTGCACTTATTTATTTTTGAATTCAGGTCATCAGGCTTGGCGGCAAGTGCCCAATCCCTAAAGTGTTTAAATTTTCTTCCTTCCTTCCTTTCTTTACTTTTCTTTCTATTGGGAGTTGGGTAGGGTCATTTTGATCAAGTCTCACTATGTAGCTCTAGCTGTCCTGGAACTTGATCTGTAGACCAGGCTGGCCTCAAACTCACAGAGATCCACCACACCCAAATCGTCATTTTTTTTTTAGTTTAAGTTTAAGAAATAACTCAAAAATAACTATAGATCATTTGCTTTAAGAATTTGGATTGTTAGCTGGGCGGTGGTAGCACACACCCTTTATCCCAGCACTCAGGAGGCAGAGGCAGGCGGCTCTC